AGGATTTTGTCCCATTGAATTTAGTATTATAAAAATGCACCATAGACTCTTTTATACGTGTGACATGATTCATTAATTGTCACGCATAATTAGATATAATTACAATTGCCAGTGTATATGAATAGAAAAAAAAACTCTTTTAAAATACAAGTAGTGCCTTTGTCTTTAGGTGGCAAGTGTTTTTCAATCCATTTTAGCTGACACAGAAAAAGTATGTGGTTGTGATTCAAACGTTTATGGTCCACCTTCTCTTAATATTCTGGGTTTCGCAACATTTGCAATATTCTTTTGTCCTATCAACAGCAAATTGTAACAAAACATCATTCAAAAATTTATTCCAGAGTTCGAAAGATCTAATTTCACTAACTGTTACACATCAGTAAGAAATCATGATCAAAGCTCCATTTTGTACATAAAACTGACAAGTTCTAACTTTAAGAAAAGAGCGTTTACAGTTGATGGTAAATTCCAGTTTAACCTCAGACAGATGAAGACAAGACAACATTCGAAGTTGGCTATGATTCAGTTTATTGCAAATGTCACATTAACAGCTCGGAATGGTGCGCTGTCGTGCTCCCTGAAATACTTACGTGAAAGACTATACTCTATTGCTGTATTCCCTGATGTACTTTCTCAAGGAATCAGCTGGCCAACAAAAGGGATGTATATACACTATTGCCGTGCTTTGTTTTCTGATAGACGTCCTTGAAGGACAAATTTCCTTTGAAATGCTCGCCAACAGATATATACTTTATTGCCTTATTTCCTGAGAGACATTGTTAAAGGTTGGATTATTACCTTGAAATTTGGCCAATTTATTACGTTGTTGTGTGCTCCTTTGTGGTTTTAAAGGCTACGTCAATATTGGAGAATTACTTACTATACCACGGAGGTCTTCATGTAATATGCACTAGACAAACATATGGTGAGAAAAACGAACATCCATATTTGATGTCGGTTATGATGTCATAATTTGTATCCATTTGATCCCCTTTTCATTCTGTACTTTCCAAAGTTATGGTGCGATCCATTCTACCCGAAAATCCTCGTCGAGATAATTATTCTATGAGCAAATACTTCTATGTATTTCCAAAGCAGTGAGACGCTGGTGCACGCATACGTCGTTTTCACTGGCACTTACAAAAGTATGAATACAGTGCGTGCGTGCGTGCGTGCGTGCGTGCGTGCGTGCGTGCGTGTGTTCGTGCGAGCGAGCGAGCGTGAAAAACCAGTGACGGGGGTCAGAAAACAGAATCCAGATATTTGTCCTTGTCAAAAGGACCTGCATGTCATGTTTTGTATATTTAATGCTTATACACCTGAGGAAATCACTTGTTGGTTTCAAATTCATACATGAAACCTCTACTGTTGCCGTCGAAATAACTGCGGTATTAAATTTTACTGTTTTAAAATGGCTATTGGATCAAAATGCCGTGAGTTCATTTTAAGATACATTTTCAGCATTTACACTATTATTACGTTCATAATTACGTGTTGCTATGCAACGGTGTTTTTTGTAATATTTTAATTTTCAGCTTATATTTGATCCAACTCTACTAGTATATTAAATTCACATTTGTCCACGAATACGCATTAATAATTAAATTAAATTGATTAAACAACATTTGACTGATTAAATTGATAACAGTCTTGGTGTAGCGAAACTTTTAACAAGAAGACATGCATTTGGCAAAATATGTTGCTTAAAGAACCCATCACCATGTTTACCGTATCCACGTTTCACTCATTCGAAATGTGTTTAAAGCGATTGCTTTGTAATACATGTACATTGCCGACATGTATATACTGTAAAAGCCACCATGCTGCCACTTCTATACTTGATTTTGCGTTTGAAAAGGATCAAACAAACATCAGTATCAAAACATTTTTCTGTTATGCAAAATTACTCATACCTGTTTATTAAATGATTCATAAACAAACCTGATGTCCACACTGAGACTATATTACATGTTTGAATCTGTTTGCCATCGTCTTTATAGTATAAATAACGTGAAAGACCGTTAATGAGCATTCCTTGGTTACTTGGTTTTAATGATGTGTCTGTACACGATTCATTGATTTACTGGTAAGGCTTCTCCAGGACCCGAGACATGTGTAAATGGCTGTATCACAAACAACCAGACGCAGTCGTCCGCAAGTATCCTAGATAGTTGTGATCAATCGCTTAATCGTAAAACCAGCTTATGGTGATGTCCTTAGTGTGGTCAATAAAACTTAGAGATACCTGTTGAATTGTCTTGGTTAAATGTGCCTGATAATCAATTGTGCGAGAACTATATAGAGGATCTCTTATGGTTGCTTCAGTACTCACCGTTTGGTAAATGAAATTATAACGAATGGCGTACCTATGAGTGAAAATATTAATCACAGCCACGTCACGAAATCAAATCCATGTAAACAGCATATTTGACAACCATCTTTAAATCTTCTATTTCCTCAAGTCATTTAATCTGATTTTGCGCGATTGTGGTTCGAATTTTTTGGGACCAAACCACTTCCAGCAGGGTTCACATACGAGAAAATAACTTTACAAATAGTAAAGAAATTGGGGTTGGTTTTTATTTGGTACAACAAAAATGAAACTAAACATATACCTAGTACGCTGGAATGGTATGCAATGTATAAGAAAATCTAACAAAGTACATGTACGGCATTGTTAGCGCGTAGGTCACAGCCGCTATTTCCAAACCGACTATCAGCACCTTGTAAACATTCAGTGTGTGTCATCAATAGAAAACGACCCATTTTAGACAAAAACTGGCCAGACAACTGTAAATTATCAAGTGCATAGTTTCTTTGACAAAGGTCAAGGGGTCTCTTTGGGACATAATGTGGCAGTGCCGATTCGGCGACCCTGAGCTTGAGCCATAACGAGTGGCCTTGAACTTTGACCAGTGCTGATATCACCATTCTTGAGAGTTTATTAGTTTATCAGTTCATCCCCATGCTTGTCGCGATAGAATATCAACGGGATCGGGTGGTCAGGCCGCTGACTTGGTTGATGCATATCATCGTATCCAATATATGCGCATGATATCAGTCAATGGATTGTCTGGCCCCGACTCAATTATAGCTGGAATAACTTTGAGTGCGGCGTTAAAAAACAAACAAACAAATATCAGTTTATCGTCACTCGGTGGATATAAGGTTTTTTTAGTGATGGATTTGGATACCTTACTGCCAATAATATAATAAACAGTTATATCTGTATCGTTATGGAAACACAGACATGAGAAAACGAAGGGTGGTGAGAGAAACCTTTGTCCTGTCTGTCACCACACAGAAAACCCAAGAGGTGCTTCCGTGGTTTCATGCTTGTTAAACAGCGACATCCGTTATATCTCCACATCACAGGAGTTACAATACTTAGACGCACGGGCCGTAACAATAGGGGCCTTAACACTGGAACAACATGATAAAAGAGGGGCATCGTCAGTTTTAGAGATCTGTCAGTCACTGTGTGGTAAAAAGATGTCTATGTCCCACAGAATCTATTGCTTCCTGGGCTCATCAATAAATAACAAGCATCTGATGAAGGTTGGGATTTTTCTTAAGAGGGGTTCAATGTTATGGTCATTGGTTTTTAATACGCATTTTTTATTTGAATTGGTGGAGCCGAAAATCTATTTTTTAACACATTTTTTTCATGACTGCATGCTCAACATTTTTTGGTTAAATGTTTGGTTTTAGTTATTATCATTATTTTCAATTTTCATTCTGAACCATTCAATAAAAATAACACCTTTGGTCTCAGAAATAGTGTTGCTCTGTGTGAATTACCCATTATTATTACCCAAGATTCATATTTCATTCCATGAACCTGGACCGGTAGAGATAAAAACGATTGTGGTTTCAGATTTCTTGTCTCGAATAGACAAAAATCTGAAGTCATGTTGGATTGGGTAAACCTCACTTCAAAGGTCTGCCCCCTCTTGTGGCTGTCTAACGTTGATGATACTCGGCATCCATCGACAGTGTATCAAAAATATCTCAAATGATAAATAACCTGGACCTATTCGCTACCTAGGCTAACAATAGCCGTCCAATCAAATTACTCTCACAGGCGTGAGATATCATGCTAGTGAGACACAGGAGGCAGTGACGGTCACGTCTGCAACGAAGCTATGATGGCGTATGCGTATATGGTATTTATTAAAATAGAATGGGAATACACTGGAATTATCGAGTGTGGATATTAGACAGTTAGAGGAATTCAGGAGAATTTCTACTATGTAACAGCGGTAGTCATATACCCATTTCATAAAACTAGTCTCAGTCAACATGTGATCCATATAATTGATATGCCTTTGCACAAAGCATTTGTTGTTGTCAAAGTTAGTAGTCTAAAACCATCCCTACTGTGAATAAGCTATCTGTAGCCGATACATGTGACTATTCAACTTAGACATAATTTGTAATTGGTTTCGGGGGCTATAACAGTATCACACCATGTAAGACCAATTTATATTTCAGTGCGATCTATGAAGGTGAAGTGAATGTCGCCATGTAAGAAACGGTTTTAACACGTTTGGGTAATACTATTCTTTTCACTTTCACCGCATTGTAGGTATATTGTTGGCATTATGCCTTCGGTTGTATAAGGCCATGTTACTCACAACGAGCAGATAATAATCAGCGAGTGAGTGAGTATGGTTTTACGCCGCTTTTGGCAATATTTCAGCAATATCACGCCTGGGAACAACAGACATGGGCTTCACACATTGTACCCATGTGGGGAGATAATAATCAGTCTAGATTATTTGAAAAAATCTTTATATCCATGGTTGATCCTTATCAAGAAAGGTATTCAGACGCAGAGAAATCAAATTCCTGGACAGACTCCCATTCATTCTACAGTACTCAATGAATGACCCCCCGCAAATCTGAAAACACATAATGACACAAATTTGTCAATGTATATGGCAAGATCTTTGGAAAAAATATCATTCGTCCGAGATAAGTAATTACAAAGTCTGATGAGTGATTCAAATAGCTTTATTGTTATCAAAACGATTCCACAAAAATATAAATACGCATACAACCACTTTGAGCGTTGAAATGAGGGTATCGGTAGGAGTGGCAGTGGAATTGGATACATGGAAGGAGGACATTTATCTTAATGTTCGGATCAATGACTTCACCAAGGCTTGATTCAAAAAGGAGAACATTCCACGTTATCGTACCGTTGTGCTCAATGGCTTCACCAAGGTTTGATTCTTAAAGGAGAACTTTGGCAGTTATCTTACCGATATGCTCAATGACTTTAACGATGTGTGATTGTTAAAGGAGAACTTTGGCAGTTATCTTACCGGTATGCTCAATGACTTCACCGAGGTGTGATTCTTAACGAGAACTTTGGCAGTTATCTTACCGCTATGCTCAATGACTTCACCGAGGTGTGATTGTTAAAGGAGAACTTTGGCAGTTATCTTACCGTTATGCCCAATGACTTCACCAAGGCCTGATTCTTAAAGGAGAACTTTGGAGGTTATCTTAATGTTGTACCCAATACTTTCACCAAGGCTTGATTCTTAAAGGAGACATTTGCCATTTACATTACTGTTCTTCTTCAAGACTTCACGAAATACTTGATTATTTAAGAAAACGTTTGCAGTTATCTTATTGCAGTGCTCAATGCCTTCGTCAAAAACTAGACTCTCAAAGAAAACTTTGACACTCACGTTACTGTTGTGCTCACAGACATTTTTTTAAGGAAGACTTTGACAATTACCTTTTTGGGTTTAACAATTCAATTAAAGACTTAAAGAAGAACTTTGATCAAAGTTGTTCTCAATGAAGGATTGTGACATTTACCCATCTGTTATTCTCGGAATCTTCATCAAATATTTTAGGGGACTTTGATTTAGTTTCTTAAGATTGTTCTCAATTACCCCTCTTGAAGGCGACTTGATTCGTAAAGGACACTATCAATCTTGTACTTGCTATTCATCATTCACATTACCAACAAAGACTTTGAATTCGTAAGTTTGACAATATGGCATTATCTTATTCTAATGAACACAAACATTTATTATCAATATCAATGATATATATTGCGCTATCCGGTTTACACTTCTCTTTGTCATGTTGCTGATAAGTTGCATAATATCCAGTTGATACAAGTGCTAAACCGCTAACCATGTGAATCTGGTTTTGTTTTTGGTCCAATATCACTGAAACTTATAGAAAAATACAAAGATTCCCCCGAAACACACATATAAAATATATATATCAGTGAGAGATGGAGTATAAAAAAGCAGATGGAATTATTATGTATAATAGCATTGACCATACCGTGTAGATTTTTTGAATGGTGTATAATATAGCTTAAATTGTAAAACGTATACTGTGAGTCTAATACATTAGATGAAAGCACATCTCCGAGGGAGAACCTTAAAAGTCAATTCCATAATCCAGTACAAAGAAATGTTCCTATACATAATGTTCAAGATGAGTCAAAAAGGTTTACTTGCATAAAACACTTTGAAGTTTTTTTCCTGGCAAACCGTGGCATTTCTCTGAAAATATATCATCCGAGAAGGATGCGTATTACAATGCAAATCGATCCATTAAAATCGATTTTACCTTTTCTTGTTTCGCTCTAAGGCGTATGTAAAGCGAAAGCAATTGATATTAGTTTTAACAACTAAGACTTACTAGAGAATCACCTTTTGGCCATACTTGTGATCACGATTTATTAATTAATCCTATAGAAGTCGTATCTGAATTGTTGTGGTAATTAAATTCAACAATGACATAAGCACGCAGTCGTGAATGTTTCTAAGCTGATGGAGATTAAGAAACAATCCCAAAAAGAACAAGATATTATCAAATGTTTTCTGGTTGACCATTTAACGACATGTCTGGTGTTTTCGTGTTGTACAGCATTGTCGGAAGCAGCTGACCCTGTGATGGGAGAATGTAATAGATTCATGGCATTGTTTGGAGTAGAACATACTCTACTCTAGGGACTTTGTCTTGAAGACATGAATCGCCATGGGTTTCTCAGACACATTTCTTTGGAAGTGAAATGTGACCCAATAGATCTCCTGAGCCAGACTTTTAATTACGTAGAAGAAAAGAAAGTTTCTGTTCTCTAATTACAAAGAGTCTTCTGACCAAGAGTTTTGCCCTGCCGCAGATTATCAGCCTTCCATTACAAATAGGACAATCAGCAGAACCTCGTTTGTCCGGATCATGTTAACCTGAAACACTGTACTCAGGATGGTGTTGACCGAATCTGTCTTTCCAGATTTGCCTTGATCTCACAATTCTGGATCTCACTATAACGGTTCTTATGCTTCCGGATCTCGCTAGTCTGGATCTCACAATTCCTAGCCCCACGATAACGACTCTTATAACTCCGGAATTCGCTTTTCCGGATCTCACTTTTTGTTATTATTATGGTTGTTCTTGTTTGGGAATCTCATTTGTTCCGGATCCCGTGAGTCATCATTATATTCTCTCGATCTTGATTTTCCGGATGATAGTATTTCCCATCTTAATGCTCACCCACCTATGTTTGCTGTACAGTTGAACATGTTATATTTCGTTAATCCAGAATCGCATAAATCTGGACGACTGGCATTGAAACAATAGCCCGGACTAACGAGGTTTCACTGTAAAAGGGCATGAAGGGCATTACAAAAATAGCAAGTGTATAATCAACGCATAATAAAAATATGTGTATCTAAAGGGTCATGTGCCAGACATGGGGTAGCTGATTGTATATAACACACACCAACAAACACGCTCACATTCACATCAAACATGATGTACACGTGTATATAACACGATTGACACATGCATATAGCCCGATTGACTCGTGTTATTAACATGTTTAAACTTTTAAATAACATGATTGCCACTTGTATTTAACATGACTGAAACATGTATGTAGCACGATTGACACTTGTATATAACATGGTTTACAATGTATATAACATGGTTTACAATGTATATAACATCATTAGCAATTACATAGCATAGCATTATTGACACATGTCTGTTTTGAAAATATGTTAAAATTATATAGTTCATTCTAATAAGGCGTAGAGAAATTATAAATACAAAATAAGTCGAGCTTTCGATTTGTTCCCGGAATGTTCTGCCCGGCACTAATATGTAAAAAGTCCATACCTCTGCAGTGGCCTGTTCTGGAAACCATGGACATAAGATAACTGAAATTGACTGTGAATGTAGTGTTCTGACAGTTGAAGAAATATGTCTCTTTCAATGGATGCTGAATAACTTTTTCCTGAACCGATTTATTTAATAAATAACCAGTATTTAAATAAAATATTAGTTTCACTGTGAGTTATAATTAATAAAATATCGATTCGTTTTAATTCTGAACCTTCCTGTTAGAATTAATATATAAAATACACTGACACTGATATGGGAATTTAACAGCCATTAAAACAAAAGTTATTTTTTTAGTAAATGCCATGAGTGAGCACGGGTTTACGCCGCCTTTAGCAATATTCCAGCAATTATCAAGGCGGGGGACAACAGAAATGGGCTCCACACATTGTACCTATGTGGCGAATCGAACCCGGATCTTCGGTGTGACGAGCGAACGCTTTAACCACTAGGCTACCCCACAGCCCCCTTAACAATACTAAATCCTTTCCATTCTGCCCATTACCGTCAAGGAAACATTAAGTCGATCTTAATCACTGAACGTTAGAATACCATGTCATTTTACATAAGAAATAATGAATACATTGGTTTTGATGGCAGATAATCCAATGTGAAATGAAACTCGGTAACGGGAAACAAGATATTGCAAAGTCGTTATATTTAGAATATAAGGAAACAATCACAGCCATACGATACGGTGCTTTCCGCTAATACAGTGGAATGGTAATGGTTTTGTGTAACAACCCTATTGCCTGAGAAGATTAGGGCTGTTTTTAGAAACACGACTAAACACGCAATTGTCCACAAATATAGGGTTGATATTATTGACGAAGTATGACGTCCTTATTCTTATCGATGCCAGTATTAATGCGCAGTACCGCAGACTTCACAGTAAGTTTAATCAATTAAATACCACCTCTTGGGAATAATATGAACGAGATCTGGTAGAAACGGGCTGATCATTAGAGAAAGCTATCGAACGTTCATTACAAATGCGCTTATCCCCACGAGACTGGCATAATTGTGCTATATAAGTGTCACTGGGTGTCTCCCAATATGTCTTATCTGGTAGTTATAACACTGGTGTCGTGTAGAAATGGAATTCCATTGTGGCGTATTAAGGTCACATGTCACTTTAGGTCTTCCAGTCTTTGAGTATCGATCGATAGCTTACTCTAAGTGGATCGTGATAATATAGTACGTATCATGCACATTATAATAAACAAATGTGATATGACAAAATACATCATGGTGTACAAATGCATTGATATGTAAACTAATGGTAACGAAGCACGAGTTTCCTTCTGGTGACGATTGGTCCACTGACGTGACGGTGTAGAAGCATTAGTTTCCTTCTGGTGACGATTGGTCCACTGACGTGGCGGTGTAGAAGCATTAGTTTCCTTCTGGTGACGATTGGTCCACTGACGTGGCGGTGTAGAAGCATTAGTTTCCTTCTGGTGACGATTGGTCCACTGACGTGACGGTGTAGAAGCATTAGTTTCCTTCTGGTGACGATTGGTCCACTGACGTGGCGGTGTAGAAGCATTAGTTTCCTTCTGGTGACGATTGGTCCACTGACGTGACGGTGTAGAAGCATTAGTTTCCTTCTGGTGACGATTGGTCCACTGACGTGGCGGTGTAGAAGCATTAGTTTCCTTCTGGTGACGATTGGTCCACTGACGTGATGGTGAAGAAGCATGGGGAGCTGTGATAATGTGACATTGCACTGCCACGGACATATGGGACTTGCACAACATACTTCTTACACCAAATGAACAGAACACTGGCATCGTTATTGCAGGGTTGACTCCAACATTTGTCAAAGACGTCTTGTTCTTTCACAACTGTTCTTTTTTAACAGAATCTTGTTCTGAAAATAATTCTCAGGATCTTAACAATTACTATAATTTTTTATCAGGTTTTCTTTTCTGATTCAGGTCGCATATTTTTTTAACTCCCGTCTTCAAGTAATCCTCACACAAACGGAACTTTGTCAGTAATTTACCTTTAAATCAGGAGTGCCACGATGACAGTATTCACATTTCCGTATGGTCTAACGTTAATCTCACGAATTCTAAACGTAATTCTTCTAAGAACCACATACTTCTATCCAAAGTCACTCTAAATTTGAACACCTTCCATCACGAATCTCCATTTGAGTTTTTCACATATTCAACATACAATCATTTCCATACATAAATCTCTTTAGGCTCAAATATCGTGTCTTTCAAATTGACATGTCAGTCACCCAGGTATCCTTCTGTGTTTTTGATGAAACCAACGGCCATGTGATGGTTTTCTCAAACTATAAAGAAACTATAATGGTTCCTAGAGGGTTTTATTCGAATTACTTTCTAGCCCCCGAAGAACCTTTCTGTCTTCGTCATAAATCTCTTTGTCGTGGAATGATTTAAGACTGGAGTGAGGACCGTATTCGCCATTTACGCAACGGCTGATTTCTCATGAGATCGTGGTTCCAGAATCCTTGGCACTGCAGGTTGAAGTAGAGAGTGATGGTTTCATGCCGCTCACGTAAGATCCGTGAAATAAATGATATCATATGTGTTGATAGTACTTCCCCACGACTAGCTATGTTAAAGCTGGGTCGTTGCCGCTCCCTGCTCTCCATCCCGTTCTTTTGCAATGATGTCGGAGGCCCTCTTTATTGCTTCTGCCACGATGCATTCTGCCTGCCCTAAAATACAAATATAGAATTGACATGATCTACTGAATGAATACATATAACATTTATTTCTCACGAACTAGGATATGACTCTCGATTGATGACCTGTGTTCTGAACTTAAACAGTAAAAAAGGTTTTTTTTCCAGTAAAGTGATTCAGTGAATGTGGTTTAACAACGGACTCAGCATTATTCTAGCGATATCATAGCGGACTTGACTAACCAGGCGTGAACCAACTGACAAGAAATAGACGCATTAACCTGGAAGCACGTCGTACGGGCTCGATGACACACAATCATTCAGGTGACACATTTGTTACCAACCGATTCTCATTACTCAACTATTAGAACAATCATAGGACACAAGGGGCCTTGTGGTTAAAGCGTTCGCTTGTCACGTCGTAGACCCGGGTTCGATTCCCAACATGGGTACAATGTGTGAAGCCCATTTCTGGTGTCCCCCGTCGTGATATTGCTGGAATATTGCTAAAAGCGGCGTAAAAACCTGACTCACTCACTCATTGGACACTAGGATCTGTCCGGTGCCGAGGTTGTTCCGAGATTGAAGGAAGAAAGGGGTTTAAATTGACACTGTTCCATGATCTGGTTACCCATTTTCGGTCTTGGTCCTTTTACTCTTTTTTGTTGTTTAACGCCGCACTGAGCAATATTCCAGCTCGATGACGGCGGTCTGTAAATGATCGGGTATGGACCAGACACTAACATTTGTGAACAAGGATCCACGCCACCAGCGTACGATGACGTGCTATCGACCAAGTCACTGAGTCTGACCAATTGATTGATATATACTATAAAATATGAATTACTGACAAACAAAATGGACTTTGAATAAACTGATTCAAATTTGCTGGGACTGACAACTGACCCTAGCTTAGTCTCCCCTTTAAGGGTCGAAATAGTCATAATTTGTACAAACTGAAGTTGTCAAAACAATAGGCAACTGGATTCTTGTCTGAAATATTCAAAAATTGACTTATTAAGAATTGACCATATGTTTTGCGTTTATGGAGGTGTTATAACTTCCCAGACTGCTTATTTAATCAAACACACACACAAAATGCATACAACAGTACGAAATCAGCGCCATCGTCCAGCGCAACACAAGCCCCGCCCATTTTATTATCAGCCAATGAGGAAACAGTAGTGCGTTTGTGAGTGCGATCCGTCTTTTCGGTTTATGGAAACATAAAAACATGCTTGGTTAGCCACGAAATCACTTGCAAATTTATTAATTCTCATTTAACCCAATCATGAATCAAAGAGAAGCAACGGTTGACTTACTGTTGTCAAATTTGGAGGCTTACATTTAATTTAATTGATGACATTGTCCAAATGATCTATTTTTATGAAATCTACAAATGTAATGGGTAAATATGTATGCAAAAACCTATATACACTAACATAAAAAATGTGATAAATGCCAAATGTTAGAACAAGAAACACGTAATTCAATTTTATTTTGTTTAAATGCAATCCATTGAGGTTTTTTATGTCGTTGTTGACTGACATCAGGTCCCAGAGCTATAGTTATCTTATTCAAATATATATATCTACAGAATACACAATAAAAATCCAAATAGAGCCAAGAAGATTCCTTAATTTCATCTAGACTTGCCAAATCATTATATACTTGAGTTGGACTCCTTTTTCAATTTATTCTCTAGAACCTGGGAGACAGACTAATAACGTTGCAAACGACATTAAAAATAATCTTATTTGATATTTGGACATTTACAGGCGAGCCAATTTAGCGTGACAGCAAATACCTGAGTTTGCTTCAGAAGTGGGGGGATTGTTACCTGCTGTGCTTTATCACACAAAATCAATGTGATTAAAAACCATGGAAAGGAAACACTTGGCCGCGAAAAGCCAACTTATCGAGACATTCCATCGTGAAAATTCCTTGGGTTGTTTTATTCATGCCTCGGTGTATTAGATAAACTTAAAAGGCTTCATTAAAAAAGTTAATTATCGGCGGCTATCTTTGTCCTCCGAGCCTGCAGGAAGCAAGTCTTGAGTTTATCGATTGATACAGCCTAGTGGTGGTGGTGACGGCTCTATGGCGAAGACATGCATGTATGTGACGGTATGTTTTTCCCATCGCTGTGCTCTTGTCGTGAATATTGGCCGCGCAGCATGACTCGTCAATCAACAAAGCTTTCCTTTCCCGGCTGCTTTTGATGTGTGGGTCTTTATCCCGATGGCAGGAGGCATAAATATGTTGACGTAACGCCTAAACGTCATTTTACCCCTGACTCGTTCTAATTAAGGAACGCAATCTCATTGGATCTCGTGACAAATGAAGGGATTAAAAGCTATGTCCTAAGCCTGTAGTATGCCCTATTACGTTTTTGTCAAATGGCCCTTGAGTTTACAAGTCATTCTATTAGTATAGGCTACACGAGTCTTTCGCCCGACCACGTAGAGAAATTGATGAAACAAATAATAATGTATTTGTAAATGAAACCGAAATACCATTATCCCTCGATCTGATTTGTAGCTCTTGGCAGAACCTCCGCCGTACCATGGTTGCTGTGACAACCGGTATTCAAAAGTGCATTGACTCGTGCACGGAAATAAAACGCTAAATTTAACTTGTGTTGTTTGGTGTCAATAATAGGTTTAGTGACCAGTAGCCGCCATTTTGTGCCATCGGCGTTGAAGTTGCTTACTTTGCAGTTCCCGACACGTGGCCTCGTGACCGCGATCACCATCTGCCTCGGAATCCGGGACCACTTTTTGTCTGGTTGGGGCTTCGCATCGAAGGCAACTGCACAGGTTTCGGCACTGAAAAGATAAGGTGGGAATCATTTGAGCGGATATTGGGAGATTTTATGATGACCGGGTTGACAGATACGCCGTGCAGATAAGGTTTGGCTGGCGATGTCTTGCCGGTAAAGATCCGGCGAAGGGAGCGGGGTGGTGGTAATTGCTGCCCTTCAGCTCAGGAAGGATGCGACTGTCAGACAGCCACATAATTCACAACTGGACGTCGCCCTATTGAAGGTCGCCGATAAAACCACGTCTGATACTTGAATGACCAGTCAGGAAATCAGAGAGGTCAGTCAAGGTGCTTGAGCAATCAGTTTTATGCCCGAGCTATATAATATGACATCAGTCCTGAAACAGAGGGATATCATGATACCCGAAAGATGCTCCGTACTGATACCGAGATCGTCAGTATTGATATCCGAAGGATGATCATTATTGATACCCGATGGATGGTCAGTATTGATACTCGATGAATGGTCAGTATTGATACCCGATGGAAGGTCAGTATCGCTACCGGAATGGTCAGTATTGACACCGGGATGGTCAGAATGGATACCGTGATGGTTAATATTGATACCCAATGAATGGACAGTATTGATAACGAGATGGTCATTATGGACACCCGACAAATGATCAGTACTGATATCCGATGGATGGATGGTTTGTAATATAATCCGACGGATAATAAGTATTGATACTGGTGGATTGTCAGTATGGATACCTGATGAATGGTCAGGATAAATACCTGACAGATCGTCAGTATTGATACAAGATGGATGGTCACTATTGATATCAGAGCGGTATCATATCATATTAGAAAGATTAAATATAATGAAACAATGAAACATAAACAACAAACACTGAACCCACACCAGACATTAATAAACTATTGCACGTCTTAATAGGGCGTTTCCAGCAGCGGTAAACATATTGAGTAAAATGACCGGGTCTACTCAGGTCGAAGTGAAGTTGGTCACTTCAAGATAGGTGCTTGCCACTATATGTATCCGCTGATTATATAGCTAATGCGTGGATATCACTACCAGTACTATCTGTGGGCGATGGCATATAACACTGATGAGACACTAAACCTGCCAGACGATTGCTGAGTATTACTGCAAACACCTATTCGTCATACTAAGCAGCCATTTCGGCCAAACAATTCACGTCGTGTATGATTTTGCATATGAATCTTCACACTATTGTGGTGAAAAACGCTTACACAATCAAGTATACCAGGGACCCCTATCATAAAAGAGGAACTAGACAGGGGTTCATTTGGCAAGTTTCATTCAAATCATTCAAAATTAACTCTGTCGATAAACTCAAACGTATTTATGGTAGTTAGCTTTGCGCACCATACGTGCCTAAAAGTATTTATGGTAGTTAGCTTTGCACATCATACATGCCCAAAAGTATTTATGGTAGTAAGCTTTGCACATCATACATGCTCAAAAGTATTTATGGTAGTTAGCTTTGCGCATCATACATGCTCAAAAGAATTTGTGGTAGTAAGATTTGTGCATCATACATGCCCAAAAGTATTTATGGTAGTTAGCTTATCGCATCATACATGCTCAAAAGAATTTGTGGTAGTAAGATTTGTGCATCATACATGCCCAAAAGTATTTATGGTAGTTAGCTTATCGCATCACACATGCCTAAAAGAATTTGCGGTAGTTAGCTTTGCGCATCATACATGCTCAAAAGTATTTATGGTAGTTAGCTCTGCGCATCATACATGCCTAAAAGTATTTATGGTAGTTAGCTTTGTGCATCATACATGCCTAAAGTATTTATGGTAGTTAGCTTTGCGCATCATACATGCCCAAAAGAATTTGTGGTAGTAAGATGTGTGCATCATACATGCCTAAAAGTATTTGTGGTAGTTAGCTTTGCGCATCATACATGCCCAAAAGTACTTATGGTAGTTAGCTCTGCACATCATACATGCCTAAAAGTATTTATGGTAGTTAGCTTTGGGCATCACACATGCCCAAAAGTATTTGTGGTAGTTAGCTTTGTGCATCATACATGCTCAAAAGAATTTGTGGTAGTAAGATTTGTGCATCATACATGCCCAAAAGTATTTGTGGTAGTTAGCTTTGTGCATTATACATGCCCAAAAGTATTTGTGGTAGTTAGCTTTGCGCATCAAACATGCCAAAAAGTATTTGTGGTAGTTAGCTTTGCGAATCATACATGCCTAAAAGTATTTGTTGTAGTTAGCTTATCGCATCACACATGCCTAAAAGTATTTGTGGTAGTTAGCTTATCGCATCATACATGCCTAAAAGTATTTATGGTCGTTAGCTTTGTGCATTATACATGCCTAAAAGAATTCATGGTAGTTAGCTTTGCGCATCATACATGCCTAAAAGAATTCATGGTAGTTAGCTTTGCGCATCATACATGCCTAAAAGTATTTATGGTAGTTAGCTTATCGCATCACACATGCCTAAAAGTATTTACGGTAGTTAGCTTTGCGCATCATACATGCCCAAAAGTATTTATGGCAGTTAGCTTTGCGCATCACACATGCCTAAAAGAATTTGTGGTGGTAAGCTTTGTGCATCATACATGCCCAAAAGTATTTGTGGTAGATAGCTTATCGCATCACACATGCCTAAAAGAATTTGTGGTGGTAAGCTTTGTGCATCATACATGCCCAAAAGTATTTGTGGTAGTTAGCTTTGCGCATCATAGATGCCTAAAAGTATTTATGGCAATTAGCTCTGCGCATGATACATGCCCAAAAGTATTTATGGCAGTTAGCTTTGCGCATCATACATGCCCAAAAGTATTTATGGCAATTAGCTTTGCGCATCATACATGCCCAAAAGTATTTATGGCAGTTAGCTTTGCGCATCGAATATGCCCAAAAGAATTTGTGGTAGTAAAATTTGTGCATCATACATGCCCAAAAGTATTTGTGGTAGTTAGCTTTGCGCATCATACATGCTTAAAAGTATTTATGGCAGTTAGCTTTGCGCATCATACATGCCTAAAAGAATTCATGGTAGTAAGCTTTGCGCATCATACATGCCCAAAAGTATTTGTGGTAGTTAGCTTTGCGAATCATACATGCCTAAAAGTATTTGTGGTAGTTAGCTTTGCGCATCACACATGCCTAAAAGAATTTGTGGTAGTTGGCTTTTCGCATCATACATGCCTAAAAGTATTTATGGTCGTTAGCTTTGTGCATTATACATGCCTAAAAGAATTCATGGTAGTTAGCTTTGCGCATCATACATGCCTAAAAGAATTCATGGTAGTTAGCTTTGCGCATCATACATGCCTAAAAGTATTTATGGTAGTTAGCTTCGCGCACCACACATACCCAAAAGTATTTGTGGTAGTTAGCTTATCGCAATATACATGCCTAGAAGAGTTCATGGTAGTCATCTTTGCGCATCATACATGCCTAAAAGTAGTTATGGTCGTTAGCTTTGTGCATTATACATGCCTAAAAGAATTCATGGTAGTTAGCTTTGCGCATCATACATGCCTAAAAGAATTCATGGTAGTTAGCTTATCGCATCATACATGCCCAAAAGTATTTATGGTAGTTAGCTTATCGCATCACACATGCCCAAAAGTATTTGTTGTAGTTAGCTATTCGCATCACACATGCCTAAAAGAATTGGTGGGAGTTAGCCTATCGCATCACACATGCCTAAAAGTATTGTGGGAGTTAGCTTATCGAATCACACATTCCTAAAAGTATTTGTGGGAGTTAGCTTATCGCATCACCCATGCCTAAAAGTATTTGTGGTCGTTAGCTTTGTGCATTATACATGCCTAAAAGAATTTATGGTAGTTAGCTTAGTGCATCAAACATGCCCAAAAGGATTTATGGTAGTTGGCTTATCGCATCACATATGCCTAAAAGAATTTGTGGTAGTTGGCTTATCGCATCATACATGCCTAAATGAATTTGTGGTAGTTAGCTTTGCGCATCATACATGCCTAAAAGTATTTATGGTAATAAGCTTTGCGTACCACACACGCCTAAAAGTATTATGGTAGTTAACTTTGTGCATCATACATGCCTAAGAGTATTTATGGTAGTTAGCTTTGCGCACCACACATGCCTAAAAGTATTTGTTGTAGTTAGCTTTGCGCATCATACATTCCTAAAAGTGTCTGTGGTTGTTTTCTATGCGCATCATACAAGTCTAAAAGAATTTGTTGTAGTAAGCTTATCGCATCACACATGCCTAAAAGTATTTACGGTAGTTAGCTTTGCGCATCATACATGCCCAAAAGTATTTATGGCAGTTAGCTTTGCGCATCACACATGCCTAAAAGAATTTGTGGTGGTAAGCTTTGTGCATCATACATGCCCAAAAGTATTTGTGGTAGATAGCTTATCGCATCACACATGCCTAAAAGAATTTGTGGTGGTAAGCTTTGTGCATCATACATGCCCAAAAGTATTTGTGGTAGTTAGCTTTGCGCATCATAGATGCCTAAAAGTATTTATGGCAATTAGCTCTGCGCATGAAACATGCCCAAAAGTATTTATGGCAGTTAGCTTTGCACATCATACATGCCCAAAAGTATTTATGGCAATTAGCTTTGCGCATCATACATGCCCAAAAGTATTTATGGCAGTTAGCTTTGCGCATCGAATATGCCCAAAAGAATTTGTGGTAGTAAAATTTGTGCATCATACATGCCCAAAAGTATTTGTGGTAGTTAGCTTTGCGCATCATACATGCTCAAAAGTATTTATGGCAGTTAGCTTTGCGCATCATACATGCCCAAAAGAATTTGTGGTAGTAAGATTTGTGCATCATACATGCCCAAAAGTATTTGTGGTAGTTAGCTTTGCGCATCATACATGCCTTAAAGTATTTGTGGTAGTTAGCTTTGTGCATCATACATGCCCAAAAGTATTTGTGGTAGTTAGCTTATCGCATCACACATACCTAAAAGAATTTGTGGTGGTAAGCTTTGTGCATCATACATGCCCAAAAGTATTTGTGGTAGTTAGCTTTGTGCATCATACATGCCTCAAAGTATTTATGGTAGTTAGCTTATCGCATCACACATACCTAAAAGAATTTGTAGTAGTTAGCTTATCGCATCATACATGCCCAAAAGTATTTATGGGAGTTAGCTTATCGCATCACACATGCCTAAAAGAATTTGTGGTAGTTAGCTTATCTTATCACACATGCCTAAAAGAATTTGTGGTAGTTAGCTTATCGCATCACACATACCTAAAAGAATTTGTAGTAGTTAGCTTATCGCATCACACATGCCTAAAAGTATTTGTGGGAGTTAACTTATCGCATCACACATGCCTAACAGTATTTGTGGTAGTTAGCTTTGTGCATTATACATGCCTAAAAGAATTCATGGTAGTAAGCTTTGCGCATCATACATGCCCAAAAGTATTTGTGGTAGTTAGCTTTGCGAATCATACATGCCTAAAAGTATTTGTGGTAGTTAGCTTTGCGCATCACACATGCCTAAAAGAATTTGTGGTAGTTGGCTTTTCGCATCATACATGCCTAAAAGTATTTATGGTCGTTAGCTTTGTGCATTATACATGCCTAAAAGAATTCATGGTAGTTAGCTTTGCGCATCATACATGCCTAAAAGAATTCATGGTAGTTAGCTTTGCGCATCATACATGCCTAAAAGTATTTATGGTAGTTAGCTTCGCGCACCACACATACCCAAAAGTATTTGTGGTAGTTAGCTTATCGCAATATACATGCCTAGAAGAGTTCATGGTAGTCATCTTTGCGCATCATACATGCCTAAAAGTAGTTATGGTCGTTAGCTTTGTGCATTATACATGCCTAAAAGAATTCATGGTAGTTAGCTTTGCGCATCATACATGCCTAAAAGAATTCATGGTAGTTAGCTTATCGCATCATACATGCCCAAAAGTATTTATGGTAGTTAGCTTATCGCATCACACATGCCCAAAAGTATTTGTTGTAGTTAGCTATTCGCATCACACATGCCTAAAAGAATTGGTGGGAGTTAGCCTATCGCATCACACATGCCTAAAAGTATTGTGGGAGTTAGCTTATCGAATCACACATTCCTAAAAGTATTTGTGGGAGTTAGCTTATCGCATCACCCATGCCTAAAAGTATTTGTGGTCGTTAGCTTTGTGCATTATACATGCCTAAAAGAATTTATGGTAGTTAGCTTAGTGCATCAAACATGCCCAAAAGGATTTATGGTAGTTGGCTTATCGCATCACATATGCCTAAAAGAATTTGTGGTAGTTGGCTTATCGCATCATACATGCCTAAATGAATTTGTGGTAGTTAGCTTTGCGCATCATACATGCCTAAAAGTATTTATGGTAATAAGCTTTGCGTACCACACACGCCTAAAAGTATTATGGTAGTTAACTTTGTGCATCATACATGCCTAAGAGTATTTATGGTAGTTAGCTTTGCGCACCACACATGCCTAAAAGTATTTGTTGTAGTTAGCTTTGCGCATCATACATTCCTAAAAGTGTCTGTGGTTGTTTTCTATGCGCATCATACAAGTCTAAAAGAATTTGTTGTAGTAAGCTTATCGCATCATACATGCCTATAAGAATGTGTGGTGATGTAGTTAGCTTTGCGGATCATGCATTCCTAAAAGAATATGTGGTTGGCAGTTTCTTAATCACACCTACAAAATACGACATTCTATTATTTCAAAGTATGTCAAATCATCTGTAGGACAATGCAATAACTTCTCTGGCATACCAGAACAATATCAAGTCGGTATATATCGCATCACACATACCTAAAAGAATTTGTAGTAGTTAGCTTATCGCATCACACATGCCTAAAAGTATTTGTGGGAGTTAACTTATCGCATCACACATGCCTAACAGTATTTGTGGTAGTTAGCTTTGTGCATTATACATGCCTAAAAGAATTCATGGTAGTAAGCTTTGCGCATCATACATGCCCAAAAGTATTTGTGGTAGTTAGCTTTGCGAATCATACATGCCTAAAAGTATTTGTGGTAGTTAGCTTTGCGCATCACACATGCCTAAAAGAATTTGTGGTAGTTGGCTTTTCGCATCATACATGCCTAAAAGTATTTATGGTCGTTAGCTTTGTGCATTATACATGCCTAAAAGAATTCATGGTAGTTAGCTTTGCGCATCATACATGCCTAAAAGAATTCATGGTAGTTAGCTTTGCGCATCATACATGCCTAAAAGTATTTATGGTAGTTAGCTTCGCGCACCACACATACCCAAAAGTATTTGTGGTAGTTAGCTTATCGCAATATACATGCCTAGAAGAGTTCATGGTAGTCATCTTTGCGCATCATACATGCCTAAAAGTAGTTATGGTCGTTAGCTTTGTGCATTATACATGCCTAAAAGAATTCATGGTAGTTAGCTTTGCGCATCATACATGCCTAAAAGAATTCATGGTAGTTAGCTTATCGCATCATACATGCCCAAAAGTATTTATGGTAGTTAGCTTATCGCATCACACATGCCCAAAAGTATTTGTTGTAGTTAGCTATTCGCATCACACATGCCTAAAAGAATTGGTGGGAGTTAGCCTATCGCATCACACATGCCTAAAAGTATTGTGGGAGTTAGCTTATCGAATCACACATTCCTAAAAGTATTTGTGGGAGTTAGCTTATCGCATCACCCATGCCTAAAAGTATTTGTGGTCGTTAGCTTTGTGCATTATACATGCCTAAAAGAATTTATGGTAGTTAGCTTAGTGCATCAAACATGCCCAAAAGGATTTATGGTAGTTGGCTTATCGCATCACATATGCCTAAAAGAATTTGTGGTAGTTGGCTTATCGCATCATACATGCCTAAATGAATTTGTGGTAGTTAGCTTTGCGCATCATACATGCCTAAAAGTATTTATGGTAATAAGCTTTGCGTACCACACACGCCTAAAAGTATTATGGTAGTTAACTTTGTGCATCATACATGCCTAAGAGTATTTATGGTAGTTAGCTTTGCGCACCACACATGCCTAAAAGTATTTGTTGTAGTTAGCTTTGCGCATCATACATTCCTAAAAGTGTCTGTGGTTGTTTTCTATGCGCATCATACAAGTCTAAAAGAATTTGTTGTAGTAAGCTTATCGCATCATACATGCCTATAAGAATGTGTGGTGATGTAGTTAGCTTTGCGGATCATGCATTCCTAAAAGAATATGTGGTTGGCAGTTTCTTAATCACACCTACAAAATACGACATTCTATTATTTCAAAGTATGTCAAATCATCTGTAGGACAATGCAATAACTTCTCTGGCATACCAGAACAATATCAAGTCGGTATATAAAATATCGAATATATATACCACAGAACTAGTAACCCATGATATCGATATATGCATAGCTATAATATCGGATTCCATATATACATAAGGCCAGGAATAGAAGGTTATAAACAATATAATAATATATATAATACATATAACACCCTTACCCACTTCCATGATGGTCCAATAGTACACATGACAAGGTTATTTCGGTACGGGAATTACATCACACAAAAGAGAATTGCTGCGAAGCCGACGACAATGACAGAAGCACTCATTATCACTTTGTTTACATGGTAGCTGTGCACCTGCTACAGGGGTGCTAAACCTAGGAACGGTGTGATGATGATGATGATGCAGTGGTGGTGTGATGGTGGTGATGGAATCACCGATACAGCGAGCCGACAGCAAGTCGTCGTATCTCGACAACAGCATGCAGATTCCTGAAAAGGTCACACAAACAGCCGCTATGAAATATTCATCCTCAATCCCATGTGTTGTATTGTATAGTTGATGGTTTCAACCCGAGCTGTTTGTTTGTAAAGGGAAGAGCTCTTGCACCAGCAAATGTCCCAAGCTTAACTTATTTATATAAGGACTTTGCTCACCTTTCATCAAATCAATGAAACAGCTACGCGATGGCCTTTAACGAAAAAGCGAGAAACGATTGGGAAGAAAATAACTCTCCTCCCAAGGCTGTTAACACAAAAACAGTAATTATTAAATAATAGAATATTGGTTATAGCGGATTATGGATTTCCACGTGGAAGTTAAATACCTTACGTTGTTTGTTATGATGTAATGTGTTATCAACCAAACGTGAAATTAATGCTAAATAATACAGCAATTATCCCAGTAATTGACATTAAGTGACATGGTATCTTAATTTGTAGTAAGATTGCTCATTACGTGGGTTATATTTACAAAGGAGGGCCAGAGTATGGTGGGAACATGTGGTAGTTCAGTTCGGCTAACAAGTCCGTGCTATATTCTCAATAGCTGATAGCGCCGTGTCCCAGACGTTGCTGAATACAGCTTGCACAGAGAAACTGTGTCAACTACTTCCGTTCGTTCGCGTAAACATTAAAGAGGTCTAGCGGATTATCCTGGGGCTTACGTTTTACAAGATTCGATCTGTACAAACACAACGACCGACTGACCACTCGGACTTGGGGAAGTTTACGTTTGAAATGAAATAAGATAAGAATTGCACCAACCTTATCGAGGAATCCCATGTCTACACGTCCATGATCCGACTGTAATCCGGCAGTGCTTATCTTCTGAAGACAGCCACGCGACAGGTGGTCACACACAGTCTCGCGCCAATTAGACAGTTGTCATAAGAGATAATGACGTCACGTGGTCATCACGTCATCCAAAGGCCGCTGTGTGTAAGCGGTGGGTATTGGTACTGGTAGCGGAATGCTACAAGTCAGTGATACATATTAAAAATGACGCGGCCACTCTGCCTTGCTGTGGAGACGAGCGACTGAACTGGCGATGGAAACAGTCGGCTCTCAACAGCTCGCCGCTGGCGGGAAGGAGCGCGAGGAGAGATACTGCTAGCCCCTGGGAATGTGTTGGCTTTTCATTGCATGGTTTCAGCCAAGCTTGTGGAGCATTCGTGTACTCGTTTCAACGAGTCTACTGCAGCCGAGACTAGAGGAAATGTTTTTGACGAAAATAGCTTGTCACTGTGAAAGTTTGGCCGATTTTGTTGATCGATAACCAAAGATGACCGATTCGTTGTGTTGAGTTGACCACGGACATATACATCTATATGCGTCTTTGAGTTGACACATAGTGTGATAAAGGGATGGCTTTCTCAAGTAGTAGTTTAGTGAGAATAATAAGTGTTAAGTTAAATATAAATTATAAAAAAGTTATTATTGTTAATATGCTCTGAAATATATTTGAAATGTCTTTAATATACTTACAATTTGATTTTCATCTCATAATTGATTAAATGATATTTTCTAAAAAATATTTTTACCACAGATAGAAAACGCTATCTTCACTAAATAAATACGAAACAAACATTCCCGATATTCGTAGTATTTCATAGTATTCTTTTCAAATACATGTATATGATACATTAACAACGGTAAGGATAACGGGTTATTAATATTACGTACGGCCATTTAACAATTTGCTTAAATGTCTTACAAGTAAATAAAAAAAATTAAGAATATAAAGAATTATTGGCAGTGGGTCTTAACTAAATAATACACATTAGCTTCGGATTTCCATCAAGATAGAGACGTGTTATTGATATCAGCGAATATGTATCACTACAAGCCGATTACACACGAATCAGTTTGTCATTCCCTGACGTGTCCTTGCGCTATTTTAATCCAGTCTCTTCTCTTCTTCAACGTAAAATGAAGGCTTGTTTAACTTCGTTTTTCGTTTTTCGTTTTTCTTTTATTTGAGAACGGCAGTGCAAACGGAACGGATAAACAGAGAGCGAACTTAAAACAAGGATCCGATAGAGATTTGCCGCATTGATTTCCCGATTTGTGTCGACCATTGAGGATGCAGGGAGCGTAGCTGCAATGGTTGCACACGGCAACGTGCAGTGTAGTCTATTTTAGACGTAGGTTTTGGAGTACACACTACGATTTCAAATAATCCGTGTGTCTATCTAAGTGCAAAGGAGTTCTTCCCAAGAGATATAGATTGACGCCCAGTCTGAGGCTTACACGTGCCTTGGTACCTCGAAAGAATTTATTTGTTACCTCATGAAGTTATTTTCCCTCTTGTTGGTATATTAAATGTTGACTCTAACTTTTTTCAGCATATACATAGTTTATAAACAGTTTTGTGGATGATTGTTCTCATGCCCGATGTGCAGAAAAGGTAGCTTTTCGACCCAAGAATGTCCATACGGGACGGTTGGGTAGCCTTGTGGTTAAAGCATTCGCTTGTCACGCAGAAGACCCGGGTTTGATTCCCCACATAAGTACAATATGTGAAGCCCATTCCTGGTGCCCCTTCCTGATTTTCCTTGAATTTTAATAAAAAAAAGCGGTGTAAAATCATACTCGCACTCACTCATACACTATCCTTTGTATGTGATCACTTCAGTCTAGCTCGTGGATTTCACTAAAGTGGTACCCCACCCCCGTATACTTAGCGGTCGTGACAGGATATTACTGAAATACTATTCAAAGCTTTAAATTAGCTCACCCACTCACTAAACTTATTTCACTATATCAGGTATCACTCCGCAAAACGATAACAAACCAGCCTTAACCGGTTGTTGACCGTTGATAAACAATACCGTTACGTCATAATTTTTTTCTTAATTAAACAGTTATAGTTTCCTATAAAAAATCACTAATGTTTTGTTTATAAAATTATGTAGCGTATCATGTGGTATGTTATGTATGGTATAATGACGTATGTGTGTTATGTGAGGTATCGCAATTTGACGTATTTGCCATGACGTATCGTATGTACCGTGACATCGTATCGTGAGGTTTAAGGTAACGTGGTGTATCCATGTGATATCTGAGTGAGTCTTACGTATCGTGAGGTAAGCATCGTGACGTATCGTATCGTTGAGTACCGTTATATTCAACATATTGTGAGAGTAATACTATCCTACGTATATTTAAATAATTAGCGATGTGACGTGCCGTATTGCGACGTGATGTGCCGTATTGTGATGTGGCGTGCAGTATTGCGACGTGACGTATCGTAGTGTGATGTGACGTACCGTATTGTGATGTGACGTACTGAAGTGTGATGTGACGTACCGGATTGTGATGTGACGTACGGTATTGTGATGTGACGTACCGTGGTGTGATGTGACGTACCGTATTGCGACGTGATGTGCCGTATTGTGATGTGGCGTGCCGTATTGCGATGTGACCTATCGTAGTGTGATGTGACGTACCGTAGTGTGATGTGACGTACCTTATTGCGACTTGATGTGCCGTATTGTGATGTGGCGTGCCGTATTGCGATGTGACCTATCGTAGTGTGATGTGACGTACCGTATTGTGATGTGACGTACTGAAGTGTAATGTGACGTACCGGATTGTGATGTGACGTACGGTAGTGTGATGTGACGTACCGTAGTGTGATGTGACGTACCATATTGTGATGTGACGTACCGTAGTGTGACGTGACGTATCATGACTTCTTAATAACTCGACAGTCTTTAACAGCTATGTCACGGAGACATATTTGTATGTCAAAGGACCGATTTAATTAGTATCGCTCCAGATTCCTGAGATAACCACTGGCTGCTTGTTAATTGGACGCTCTGAATGTAATAGGAGCGCATTTATACACACAATACCCAGGAGAGGAGATAGATACACAACGCGCCAAGGGAGCGCGTCCACGTCGATATGAGAGATCTTGAGCGACGCGCCTGTAGGATGCTGTATTGTCGCATGGGTTTTGTCAGTAACAGGCGGTGTCTGGATATGTATTGCGATGTTGATTTTAGTTTATGTCAATCTTGTGTTGGGTGAACTCATTTGTCTAGTTACTCTATCCCTTATGGAAGACAGAATGTACTTGGTATGGATGATATTACTATTTAGTGCTGCCGTAATCAGTTCCCAAAGGATTAGGTAAGCAGTTGACAATCTCAGAATGACTGTACACCGGGCTACGGTTCTCACAGAATCCTGGGAGGTGGGTGTGTCTCAGAGATTCGTGTGAGAGGGGGGGGTCTCAGGCAGAGAGAGAGAGAGAGCGAGAGAGAGGGGATTCTTCATTTGAGGAGGGGGGCAGAGATAAATAATAATTAATTGAAGCATATATACAGATCTATATAGTGAGAGTTCACAATCGTAGCCTGCAGTTTAGAGAGAGAGAGAGAGAGAGAGAGAGAGAGCGAGAGAGAGATTTATAATATAGAAAAGAGAGAGATTTATAATACAGAAAAGAGAGAGAGAGATTTATAATGTAGAAAAGAGAGAGATTTATAATATAGAAAAGAGAGAGAGTGTGTGTGTGTGTGTGTGTGTGTGTGTGTGTGTGTGTGTGTGTGTGTGTGTGTGTGTGTGTGTGTGTGTGTGTGTGTGCGTGTGTGTGTGTGCGTGTGTGTGTTTGTGTGTGTGACTGCCGTTTTAAACTTCAAAGGTGTAAATTAAGTGTTACAGCACTTTCAGCAAACGTCCATGCATCTGACTAGCGCCAGCACAAACAGGGTCTTCATGGCAATCGAATCCGGCCTTTGGGTCTTCGAGTGATCGCACAAAATACTTGATTGGCCAAATGCTCCTCTCTTTAAAGGAAAAGTGATCCCTGAGCAAATTGTATTCACACGGCAATGACTACATGCACCGCAAGTGTGACATTCAACCTTAAAGGGTGATCTGTAGCCGTATGGCGCGCTCAGGTTAATTTGAACAGGCAGACAGTAAACAACCTGGCAGAATAATCCGGCGAGACTGATCTGATTTGTCGTGAAAAGCCACAACAAATGTGCGTGCAGGACAAAACTGAACGCAGATGTTTCAGTTATAGAAATGGAAGTAACAGATAAACTCTTAAAAATATATATATCAGCGAGTGAACTGGAGGCAGTGGGACATGCCAGATCTACCAAGGGCTGCTGAACTAGGAGTACAGTAAGTGTCTAACAAGAGACACAGTCCTTGCTGACATTGTCGTTGTAAGATGCCTAAAATAGGAAAAATACCCATGGAATATTTGCAGAACAATATGTGTCTGAGACGAGCTTGTCGCCTTCGCACAACTGAGAGAAACCACTGAGAGACAACCATGATCAGTGAAACCTCGTTATTCCGGACCCTGTCAATCCTGACAATTACTGCTGGGCACACTCCTATATCTATTAAGTGAAATCACTTTGTGCCTCATGACTCGTTAATCCGTAAATTCGGATGATTTAACTGAAGACTCCACCACCCGGATAAACGGGATTTTACAGTATACGACGATCCTTTGTGTGATTCGTTGAATATCTATTTAATTTGAAATATTGTTTCAAGTAATTGAAATCAAAACTCACCTCCGGAATTTGAAAGGACATCTTCACTGATCACCGTAAGTGCTTGAGTTCTCATTTGCTAATAACATGATGTAATACTTCATATAAACGGACCGCCTCCGTGGTCTAGTGGTAGAGCGTCCGCCCGGAGAGCGGAAGGTCCAGGGTTCGATCCCCGGCCGCGATATACCAAAAGACGTTAAAAGATGGTACTTGTTGTTACCCTGTCTGGCGCTCGGCATTAAGGAGCTAAAACAAGGACTTGTCGGCTCGGAGTCAGTATACTGTGTCTGAGTGGGATATTCATGTTAAACTGCGGCATGGTATCTCAGTGTGCTAGCACTGTAAATCGGCATTAGTCCGGACTAGTACAGACAAACACACATACGTACATGCACGTCGCTATATAAGTGCAATAATCTTGGACGCGACGTTAAACCCCATTTCACCTCTGCTCACATATAACGGGCACGGGTTGCCCAGTTGAGGCAATTCGCCGTGTAGAGTTGCGTCCCTTTGACCTGCCACAAAACTATGATCGTGGGATCGAATCCCGGCTCTCTC